AAGACTGAGGAAGCACCATGCAAAAAAGTGCCCGTGCAGTCAATTCTTCGAGGGGTGCAACTGCTGAACTTGGAAGACGGTCCATTTTTCGGTTTGGAAATTCGCGCCGTCGGGCGCCGTCGGTGCCCGTCCGTGGGGCAGTACATGTTGCTCAAGCACTCGTCCCCAATATTTATATATTATATAGACACTCCCGACTGCCATGTCTGACGCAGCCGCTGATGAAGAAGCAACAGCAGCAGCAGCTCCGGCTGCGAGGCGCCCCGCCATCATATATCTGTTGGTTCGCACCGCCGGCACGCACATAGTACGCTGATCATGTTTGGGAGCGCCCACAAGCAACGTGATTTTGTTTGGGCCGCATCTGGACATTAATGTTTATCATTTTTGGAAAGGCTATACTTGGCACCAGACTGGTTCAGACCTCCAACCACTTCCTGATGAATTTAAGTCGTGAGGCACCCAGCCGCCGATCGGCTGGTTTCGCTCAAAACACAGCGGCAGAACCTGAAGCGGCAGCTCCAGCAAGCGAACCGTGAGGTTCGCAATGAGGCGACCGGCGCATGATCCACATGTATTGTTGAAATTTGATGCAGTATTGTGTTGCTTGTGCTTCCGACTTGCGCGCGGCGCGACTCATTCTGGCGCACATGCAGGAGAAAAAGCGACAGAGACTCATGCGGCGCGCTGGCAAGTTGAGCTCTGCTGATCTCACCTGGCTGCTGGCGCGTCGAGTGCAATCTGAGCAGTCTGAGCAGATGTCCACATAGCTATATTGCAGGGCACATTGGCAGTGTTTGGGGAAAGAGAGACTTGCGCCCATGTGCTAGCTTTTGTTGACAGCTAAGCTGACAACTGCTGAGCGGGGGCTGTCAGAGCAACCTTGCTGAAGTGGCCGTGCTCGCAGAAGCCGGCGCAAGCGATAAATATGTCACCTGTCACCCACGTGCTAGCTTTTTGTTTACAGCTAAGCTGACAACTGCTGAGCGAGGGCTGTAAGAGC